TTTCTGAAGAAGGGTCCAGACCCGAAACGTCAGCTTTCCTGCTCCTCTGATGCTGCCTGGCCTGCTGTGTTCATCCAGCTCTACACCTTGTTATCTGATACATGGTTAGTTGTTGCATGGGCACGCAGTCACTTTGGTGTTTCAGCTACATGTCTTTGATGGAAGTTGCTGCCATCATCTCCTCTGAGTGTAGGAAACTACAGGGACTGTTTGGTCTAGACTCCTGTGTGGTCAAGGTAAACTACCTCCTGTATAGCTAGAAGACTGTCCTGTCATTAACAAGGTACAGTTTAATACACTTTAGCAATCAGTTACAAGTTACATTGATCACTGGCCATTGATGCAGAGACCTTAAGGAGGACCAGATGTTGGGCTTCTCTCCTATGAGACCCTTAGCTTTTCTGCCTCTAAGTCCAAATACAGTGAATGGTGCTTACAGCACTCCTCAGTGTTAATCCTTTCAGATCTATATACAAAGAATGTTACATCAGACGGTGCTGTGCTTAGTAGGTTAAAAAGTCTCCCTTGTTAGCAGGAGATCCTGAGTTTGAATCTCAGTGGTAACTTTCTCTGTTTTTCCAAAACATGGCTTTCAATTAACATGGCCAATAAGGTCTGGATTCAAGTCCATAGGAGGTGTGTCATAATATTTCTGAACAAGTTGATTAAAATAATTGTGTCATGCCTGACATTCCTGGTTGAATTTGCAGTGCAGTGGTATTGTCTCTACCCCTGGACCAGGAGGCCTGGCTTCAAGTTCCATCTGGTCCAGAGGAGTCTCATAACATGTCTGAACAGGCTGATTGATAAAACAAAAATCCACAATTAATGTTGCTCTTTATAATTAAATAAATTTGCTGGTGCTCTTTAACCTTCCGGATTTGGATTGAAATCTATTGCTGACAAATGGCACACACACTTCTGCTTTGTAAAATAATTTGAGCTGCCTGATAATTTATGAATAATGATGGACAGGAAATTATCTTCTTCATTCAGTCTCTGGCCCTGAATTCTGATAACCTTCTATATCCTCGGAAGGATACCTTCTATATCCTCGGAAGGATATTGCAAAACTTGGTTCAGAAATTATTTACAAAGATGTTGCCAGGGTTGGAGGGTTTGAGCTGGAGGGTGATGCTGAGTAGGCTGGGACTATTTTCTCTGGAGCATTGGGTGCTGAGAGGTGACCTTGTAGAGGTTTATAAAATCATGAGGTGCATGGATAGGGTGAATAGCTAAGGTCATTTCCCCAGGGTAGGGGAGACCAAAACTAAAGGGCACAGGTTTAAGGTGAGAGGGGAAAGATTTAAAAGGGATCTAAGGGGCAACATTTTCACACAGATTGTGGTGCGTGTATGGAATGAGCTACCAGAGGAAGTGATGGAGGCTGGTACAATTATAACGTTTAAAAGGCATCTGGATGGGTTAATGAATAGGAAGGGTTTAGAGGAATATGGGTCAAATGCTGGTAAGTGGGACTAGATTAATTTAGGATATCTGGTCGGCATGGACGAGTTGGACTGAAGAGTCTCTTTCCATGTTGTACATCTCTATGACTCTATACTCTCAAGTCCACACAAAACAATAATCTTTTGGGAGAGACATAAAATCAGATTAAAATTCCAGGGTAATTTGTGGTGGGAAAAGTGTTCTCAGAAACGCCCTTCTTCCAGGTTTCTTCAATCAAAGCTGTGATTGTATGGGCTCCAAGTGGAAGTTACATCTGGTTCAGTACTAATTGGTGTTGACATCTCTTTTCAGGACAACTGATGTACAAAGTACATAAAGCTGTCTGGGGAGAGATTTTGTTAGCTGGGTGTGGAAGGAGCATGACCATCTATGAAGGCTGTTCCAGACCAGTGGGTGTGGACAGTGCTGTGACATTGCCTTATGAAAATGGGACAACATTATTGCCTTAGTGTCATTGTCCCCTTCCAGCACGCAGTGTCAACAACAGCAGCAGAGATGCCTTATAGAACTGTGGCTCTCACTTCCCAACCTACACTTGCACTCGCAAAAGCTCCACACTGGGAGCAGAGGCTGCCAAAATGTTTCTTTTTAAGTACTTTTTGTTTCCTTCATGAGTACAAGTGAAATCTGTGGGATGAATTCTGTCCAAACAAATCATTTTTAAATCATTAGCTTTGGTATCTTTAATAACTATTGCATGTTGACTGTGATATTGCTAACTGCTTATTAGAATAATGTTTTTCCTATTACCTCTGCAGCCAATCTACTACTCTTGGTGACATGGATCAATTTGTAGCCTTTTTTCCCCCCTCATTCACTATTATAATTAAACTCTATATGACATTGGGTTTGAACTGACTTTTCCTAAGCAACCTGGTGTGTTACTACACACCTCAGGAGCAGGTGGGACTTGAACTCAGGCCTCCCAGTCTAGGGGTAGTGACACTGCTACAGCACCACAAGAGGGCTCTGAACTGACTTACCAGATGAGATGGAAGTTATGACCGGGTGTAAACCATTAATCTGCCTTTAATAATTTAATTAAGTCTGTCTGTTTCAACTGAATGAGTACCTCTCTCATGAGTCTGATTTAACTGCAGCCTGGATTATTGGAGATGGCTATTATCTTTAACTGGAGCTGGTAATAGAGCCTCATCGTGTAGTCAGTGTGTAAGGGAGGCTAGGTGCTCAGCGTATTTACAAAAGACAAAACTTGGAGACTAAAACAAATTGCAGGAAAAGCTCAGCAGGTCTGGCAACAACTGTGAAGAGAAATCAGAGTTAACGTTTCAGGTCGAGTGACCCTTCCTCAGAACCCTTCCTCTCCACAGATGCTGCCAGACCTACTGAGCTTTTCCAGCAATTTCTGTTTTTGTTTCTGATTTACAACATCCACAGTTCCTTCAGATTTTAATAAGACTTGGAGACTGTTGGGTGCAGTCTGTCTGTTCCATTTTCCCTTGCTCCTTTGTAAATAAGGCACCTGTTGTCTACTGTCTCATCCTTGATGTGATCATTATTTCTTTGCTTAAAATGTTAATCAGTGTAGAAGGAGTCCGTTAAGACAATTGAACCAGTGGTAGGACTTTGAACAAACTCTCCAAGATTCACCTGGTCTTTGTTCACTACACCGAAATTTTCTTCTTTTAAAGTATAGATCATTTGCTTTTGTGGATCATTCCTGGTAATTTCATAATAGAACATGACTCAGAGACCTTGAGTGTAAAATTCCCATTCTAGCAATGGAAAAGGTTTTGCTTTCGTATTCACATCCATTCTTGATACCCTCCACTGTAAACTTCACCTTGTTCAGCGGCTAACCCTCCAGCGTTATTTTTCCGCCTTTGTTTACTGCCTTTAAACTCCCTTGGGAGTTTCTGGCTGAAATTCCTTCCATTTTCTCACACCTTTTACACTATAATGATCCTGTAAGCAAACATTTTGACCATCTAGATTTTTCTCATCCCCCACCCTTACCTCCTCCGCCAGTGCTTCTCAAATTTGTATCTTGTGGATTGTTGTAATTTTATATTTGGACTGTCCACCTTGCCACTTCCTTCCTCTAACACTCATTCTTGAACCTCCCCTGCATTCACAAGGCAAGTCTCCTCCTTCTACCCCCAATTATGGTCCTGTTTCTGTGTTGAATTCCCCCAAACTCAATATTCCATATTTTTGACATACTGCCTTTGCATTCCTGTCTTCCTGCTGTCAAATCAACTATCATCATGATGCCACCTATGACGCTCTCTCTTTCTCCCCCCATTGCTAAACTCCATGAGTTGGATACATTAGTTTATTCCCTCTCTCTGTCTGTCTCTCTCTCTCTCTCTCTCTATCTCTCTCATTTGGTTCAGCCTCCACTACCTCAATTTGGTCAATTTAAATTTGTATTAGTGTTCCATCCATTTCTAGGATGATGACCTCTGAATGTATCTCAAGCGTCCACCGTTAGCTGCGTTAGAGAGGTATGAGAGCGGTAAGTTGGTAGAGAAAACTGCCAAAAGAGAGACTGGGTGAAATCCCATCATTCACCCTCTCCTTTGCCACATTGACATGTGCCACCTAAATGTTGGCACCCATTGGCTCTGACATTAGCCTGACACCTGGTTCTGCGCCTCTCACTACCCTTGGTCATCACCATATTATTCAACTGCTTAGCAAAATAAAATCTTCTGCAAATGCTTGGGTTCTCCCCAAAAGGTTTGGAAAGGTTGTTTCCCCTTTCTGGCGGAGTCAAAGACCAGATGGCATAATCTCACAATAATGTTACCTATGTAAGGCAGGGATGAGGAGCACCCCTTCTATTAGTATTTAGTGAATCTTTGCTTGTTAAATTCATTCAAGACTCACAGAGACAGACTGTTACTCAGTGAAGGATTCAGGGGTTATGTGAAAAGACAGAAATGTGGAGTTGCGGATTATCAGGCCAGCCATGATCCGATTGAAAAGGCAGAGCAGACTTGATGGGCTGAATGGCGTACTTCTGCTCCAACGTCTTAAGGCCTTTATATGTCAGTGTGTACAACATGCCCTTTCTCCCTCCAGCTCTTATTCCATTCACTTCATAGATCATAGAATCCCTACAGTGTGGAAACAGGCCATTTGGCCCAACAAGTCCACATTGACCCTCTGAAGGTCATCCCACCCAGATCCATTCTCCTAGCCCTGCATTTTCCCATGTCTAGCCCCACCTAACCTAAATATCACTGGGCACTATGGGCAATTTAGCATGGCCAATCCACCTACCCTGCACATCTTTGGGGAGAATGTGCAAACTCCACACAGACAGTCACTCAACGGCAAAATTGAACCTGGGTCCCTGGTGCTGTGAGGCAGCAGTGCTAACCACTGAGCCACCGTGCTGCCTGGCTATTCCGTTGTCTTGATGTACACTTGCACACCTTTGTACTTGCTTACCTGCCTATCATCCTTCCAAAATATTCTCCAAACTACATCCCTGATCTTGGCTTTATTCATGTCCCTCTGCTGCTTCTATGCCATCCCCAAACCCTGCACCCAACTTTAATAAAGAATGGGTCTACAATAAAAATTACATCTCTGTATGTCTTGCATATTGTACCAGAAGATTTGAATTTAATGCTGGTCATAGAATCCCTATGGTGCGGAAACAGGCCATTTGGCCTAACAAGGCCACACCAACTCTTCAAACAACATCCCAGTAACCCTGCATTTCCCATGGCTAATCCACCTAATCTAAACATCCCTGAACACTACAGGCAATTTAGCATGGCCAGTCCACCTAAACTGCACATCTTTGGACTGTGGGAGGAAACTGGAGCACCCGGAGGAAACCCACACAGACACAGGGAGAATGTGCAAACTCCACACAGTCACCCAAGGGTGGAATCGAACCCGGGTCCTTGGCACTATGAGGTGGTAGTGCTAACCACTGTGCCACCCCTGAACTGTGGACCATTGTGCCACTGAGCCACCATGCTGCCCAATAAGGATTGCTGTCATTAGCGATCCTCATTCATTTCCCAGAGGGCAAGCTGTCTGCTGTTGTAGATGAATCCTGAAGCAGTTTGTCTTGATCGTAAAAAGGACCATTGCCTTTTTCATTGCTCCTTTTGCCATGCATTCCATAAAACTGTTGTCGTTTAAAAATTAGGAATTTCTGAGCGCCCACAGATGTCTGTAAGTAAGTTCACAGCTTGATGTGGTACTTCACTTAATAAGAGTAGGATGATCCCAAGCTGAGCCCTGGCCTGTGCTCAGTTAGCTACTGAGGCAGTTGTATGAGTGCTGGATGAGGGATGGAGGAAAAAATAAGTC